GTGACAGGGGAGGGATCACTTGACGATATCTGTGATGTTTATTCCCTCTGGGGGACTTGGCATTGGTCACTGTTGGAGACCGAATACTGCGCTAGATGGACCTTTGGTCTGACTCAGTATGGCCATTCTTATGTTCTTAAAGTGCTTTCGGGGATGACCCACCACTCCACAATAAAGTAATGTTGCACTGCAATAGCAGCATTCCTCGGAGCTCCTATTGCTAACCCAAAACAACAAAAGAGAGTCAGCCTACAAAAATAAAATAAAAAAGCATGAGATTTTTAAAATCATGAAACTTTAGAAATATGTTTGTAATTCCTTCTCACTTTCTAGTTTTTGAGCCTTTAAGTGTCATGTTTTCAATCTTCTATCACAACCAGGAGGGCTAGAAACTTTAAAAAATAAGGCTAGAGTCTCATGAAATAACATGACTCCAGGAATTGGGGATTTAAGAAAAACAACATTTTGTAAGTCTCACGATGAAAATGCAAAAGCTGGCAATACTACAAAACACTTTTTACAGACTATCATTTCTCACAGCACTCTTACAAAAGATATGCAAAAACGACTATCAAGTAAGAGATCATTCCCAAAAGACGCCAATACCGATGAAAGTTGTGGGTTTTTCTAACCTTTGAAACCATCAAGCCATACATTTGGTTTTTTTTTTTTTTTTAAATAGCTGGACAGTGATAGACGGACTATCTCCAGGTAATTTTATGGGAATAAAAATTCATATTTTGTGATGAAGCCAGTCCCAATAATCACTTTATCCTTAAAACTTCCTAAATGCCAGTTTATAGGTCAAATTTGTGCTGACCCTCTGAGCAGAACAAACTGTCATTACAAAAGCTGCTTTCATGCTTAGCATTAATAATTGAACTGAACTGAGTGCGTAAGACAGACACTTAGTCACTAGAACAAAAATCAAGTTGCACAATAGTTTTGATGGCAAGTGATCAGAATTCAACTGCATTATGCTAGCTATTCAGAGGAATATAGTTCTTCCACCCAGGCTTCTGCATTGAAGTTACAAGGGAAATATTTATAGAGTTTTGATATAGACACAATTTGGGAACACAGGGAATGACTGAAAAGCAGGATGGGTGTAATCTGAGGACATTGCTAGGAATGCTCCAGATATACCACATTTTCCCCAGATTCCTCTATTGAGTGTATTTCAAAAGTTAAGCTTCTGATTGTTTGTCAAATGTTGTGGGAAGGGGAAAATTAGGCAATGCTTTAGTAAAAATACATTTAATTCCACTTATTGAAGTTCTTATAAATTTCCATTCTAAGGCTGGCCAAAATACAATACAATACAGAGTGAAATAATTTAAATTTGTTTGCAGATTATTTAAAGAAATTAAAAAAAAGTTAGAAGAGTGCAGTCAATGTATTCTTGCCAACACATATTTCAATCTTTAGACTTGGAATAGCAGGCAGCCATAAAGTACACCTTTCACCAGAAATAGGACACACAGCAAATCCATGGAATAAAAGACTTGTGTCTAATCACATTCTTCAAAACACTATGACATTTTTATCTTTCAAATAATTCTTAGAGAATGTATGTGCACTTTAATCTATTGGTAATAGAATGGGGAGGACTAGCAGAGAAACTGGAGTGCTGATATGTCTAGGATACTGTGCTATAAATCTTCTTTCGTAAAGGCTGGAAGAGGAAGAGAGGTACTTCTCTTTAGTTGCTTAGCAGTTTATACTATTCACTGTGAATTACACTTACATCAGATATAAGTTTGTGATTTCAGAGTCAAGCAGAGAAGGAGGTGTGCAAAGCACCTAATTTAAAACACACCCAAAATAAGTTTTAACTGTAAAAGTCTTGATCTTGCAAATATTTAAGGATATGTAGAACTTTACTTATAAACATCAATGGGACGTTTCAATGTTTTGCTCTGCGAAGACTCAATATAGCTTACAGAAAATTAAACCCTAAATCTAGTTTCAGGTGTAAAATGATGAACAGATGTTAAGAGGATCAGTTTTAATTGTACTGGTAATACACCTAATAGTTAATATAAAGTACTATCACTTATAGGTAAAGAATTGGGGGTACAACATTGAAACGAAGAACCTTTCTTAGCAATATACCCAAAAGTCTACATGAATCTCTATAATTTTGTTTTTCTATTTCAGAACCACTAAAAGTATAGAGGTAGGAGATACTAATATTCTGTTTCCTTTTTCTAACATACAGTTGTGTTGTAGTTCAAAGCCCATAGGATCAGAGTACTGATAGGATCAATTCTGATATCCTGAATCTCACAGAAGCAAGTATTGCACATCACAGCCTAGTGGGGGAAAAAACAGATACCTGGACAGCTTTTCAACATGGAGGAAAAGTTACCCTTTGGGTCAAGAAGAATTAAGTAACACCCTGATGAATCAGATCTGCTTAGGTCTCATAACATATATTCATCATAAAACTATCCAGTCCTCTCTGAATCCAGGTACTACTCTATGACCTACTGTAAGGCATTTCAATTAGTCAGAATGACAATTAGACCAATCCTCCTCTTCTATCAAAGCAGAAAAAAATTGTACACCAGTCCAGAAGCAGCTTATTAGCTGAACATTTCCTTTTTTACTAAGTGTTTGTATGAATAACTTTTCCTTACGTTAAGAAGTCAGAATGGAAAAAAAAAGTATTTTCACGTATATAGGGTTCCTTCATTCACTTAAATATCATTAAAAGAGTCTGAGGGGGGGGGGGGGGGAGAGGGAAAGCAAAACTGACACAAATGCCTAAGGGCATTTAGAAAATTAATCCTTCTCAGCTGACAAGTCATCCCCACCAACAATCCACCAAAGCTTCACATGGGATCCCATGACATAGATGAAAGAAATTATTTCCAACGTTTTAAAGACTTGGTTGTCAAGGAGAGAGGCGGAGAAATAAGTCTCTCCACAGGAAGTGCATTCTTTAACTATTAGAAATGCACAGGTTACATTTGAAATAAAAATAAGATGTTTAAAAATCTTTGCATTATTGTAGCATTTAATGTAGTAAGAGTGGTTGATTAATCTGGAAGGGATGGGAGAGGGGGAGGGGGAGGGGAATATCTGACATTCAGCCTAGCCTACCACAGCTCAAGGCTGACTTCAAAAATAAGATAAGGTATGGTAAATGCAATATTTTTGACTGACAGAGCAACTCGTTTCAAATCAAATTGCTATCAAACAGGTTGAAATAAAGGGACTGGCTCCCCAGGATTTCTGTAAAATTACTGTGCCTGGGGACATTTATTTTTTATGCAAAGTGCCAATGAATAGAAATGCTACCTCCACAAAAGTTGCAAGCTGTATATAACTGTACATAGCACCAGCCCTAAACAATTGGTTTCCTTTGTTTTTTGGGGGGGCAAACAAACAATACTGTCTGGCAATTAAAAGGCAACTGGGGAGGGGGACGTGGGAGGAAAGGAAAAGGAGGCAGAGAGTCCAGTCCTTGCAACACTTTGCCGTCATTGCTCACATGTGTAACAATCACATCTAATTCACTAATACGTTTACGACATTTAGGATCTCCCCACTGTTATATATAAAAAGTCACTCCTGGCTTCACTGTCTTTTCTTTTTGTAGATAAAGAAAAGACAGCGAAGCCAGGAGTGACTTTTCCTATTCTCCAGAAGCAATCAAAGGCACTCGTCACAGTCTCCAGTTTTCCACAGTCCACTGGAAGGGTCTCTTGTGTCCCTTCAGTGGGTGATGCGTGTGTCCTTCTGACTAGTGCTTTTAAGCTGCGCTCAGGCTCACTTCACCTGGGAGCGGTGGCTCCTGCGGCTTCATTAAGGGTCGTGGCAGTTCGGCTGAAGGAGGGCACTGCTCATGGAAGACGCCCTGTCCCCTGCAGCAGGGCAGCTAAGCTGACCCCCTCCCCCGGCCTGATCCCACTCCCCCGGGAGCGGGAGGAAAATGGGGAAAGCGTCTCAGGATGAAGAGTGGCCAGCACGAGAAGAAAGTTTTACAGCATCCCATGTTCCCCAGCTGCCCCCCAGCACAGCCAGCCTCCCCTCTCCCCCACG